TCTCACTATGCCAACATGCCACCCATGTAGCATTATGTTTGACTGGGTTTCCAGCATCACTGTGTAATTTGTAAGATAACCGGCCTCAGTGTCTTGCTGTGTGTTTAGCTTGCTGATAATGTGTGTGTGGTTTCCTGGAAACACGTGACATTTCAGTCAGCATGCCTTAACTAACATTCCAGGGAAATGTAACATGGCATTAACCAATAAACAGAGAGTCCAGGGCTGACAGGAACTGGAACAGCTAGAGGGTGTCTTTAAGATGATCAAAGTCTAGTTGTTTTAATAGTCCTGGTGTCTCCACTGAAAGCCATTTAATGGACTCGTCTTCTTTCCTGTACTTGTATGAGCTACTTGTATTCCTGCTTTCATGATGCTGCAGGGCCATAGTGGGTTTGAAGTAAATGGCTAAATACTGAAGAGGCAAAATAACATTTTTTACTGGATAAGTAATGCCTTGTGCTGACGAGGAGACGCTTAGTCTAAAGCAGTTTGGTAATTGCAGCTCATTACAAGATTCAGGTTGTTCATGTGTACACGTTTGTAAAGTGTGTGTGTTTAAGTCTTATCTCTCAATTTCCCTTTTCAAACCCACTGTAAGTGGCATCTGCCTGTTTTGATAGCTGGTTAAAACTAAGGATTGAGATTAAAAAGACGAGTCAAAGAGGGATGCAGGATAAAAGAGTGAAAGTAAAACTAAACTGAAGCTGACTTTATCTAGTAATTCCATTGTGGTTGCTGTCTAAATAAAAAAACACCAGCGGATAACAGTCAGTGACACTGAAACAGAGAACATGTTTGATACCAATGTGACTCGTGTAAGATGTGGCGGCTGCGTTCAGAAGCAGTGAGGGTGATTTTCTCATAAAGGGGGAGGTTGAGGCCCTGTTAAGTGATTTCAGTGATCTTCTGACTTCTCTTCTAGAAGCACTGGCAGGTCAAAATTTCTACTAGCCATAGCTAAGCCCAAGGCTTTATGGTGATATTTACAGCCCTTTTCATCATTCCGCCTGTCTGCGAGTCCACCTTTCTCAATACAGAGTACGCCAAGGTCAAACTCCCATTTTTGGGTGATTGTACTTGACAAGTTTAACTGTGATGTCAGATCTGAAATGAATAGGAGGATGCAATTGGGACAACAGTGTTCTTGCTGATGTCTATACACTCAGTTCATTTAAAAAATATATATATAAATAATTGATTTAATGAAGTTTGGCAAGATCTGTAACATCAGTGCTACAGTTAACAAAAGGCTTGCAGAGAGAAGACTGGTTTCTGATTGGGAACAACCTTGGACATTGACTAACCGGTAATCTTGGGGACTGGCTTACTAGCTAGAGATAGCTTGCCCACTAGTGGGTCCTTGGGTCTCCAAAAACATTGGAGCGCACATTTAAAATGGCATTCAGTCTTCTGCATATTTAATATTAAATTTGGTGGGAATTACACTTCCACTACAAACATTTAAAAAACAATTAACAATTCAACTTCAGCTCTGCCTTGGGCCTAATGCTATTTTTGCTGTAAGCATAGCAGACTTCCTTTCTACTAGCAAGTAATGTAATGCCTACCACATTTTATCTTTGCCTACCCTGTTGCAGCAGCAGCAGCAAACATTTATCGGGTGTTATCTTGTTGTGGAGCACAGTGATGCTAAAAAAGAAACAAAAAGAAACTACATTGCATACCAAGTGAAACACCCACTCTTGCCAAAAGGTGAAAAGCTATCTAGTCATTCTAACTGTCAAGGTTAGGCAGTTTGTCCCTTTATCTATCACTGAATCAATAACACTGCTGTCGAAGGTGAGCCTTTGGTATTGTTTAATTCATTGTAAGTCATTCTGGATCAGATTTGTGAGCAGTAAACAGAATGTAAGATTGTGTAATAATATGGGGGTTGTGTTTTGTCTCAGACTACACAGAGGCATGTGTTTGGAAACTTTGACTGAGTCCAGTGTTTGTAAGGAATATCTGTATTGTGCCTGTGGGAAAAAGAGCACTGCCTTCAGGAAGAAAAATCCTGCTGTTTGTTTCCACAATAAGCCGAGTGTGACGCAGTGAACGCGCCCTCCAACCTTGTGGCTTTTCTCACGTCTGAACTTCACACCCAGGAGCACAAAGTATTGAAGTGCATTTTGTTTTAACAAAACTTACCTTTCATTCACTTACATTTTAAGCACTCTTTCTGCAGCTTCCATATAAAACCACAACCTGACTGTGGACCACCAAGGAGACGGAACTGAGTATAACATGGCAAAGCAGTAAAGAAAAGGATTTTTTTAAAAAGGAGGCTCTTTTGAATATGTCCTTTGTATCCTTTGAAATCTTTTCAGTACATCAAAGGACCTGAGACAACAGAGTCAAAAGATTTTCAGTTCCACACAGTACCACTCATTCAATCAACTGGTAAAATTCCTGTATGACTAATTGACACTAGAGTTTGATTTTGAAACGTGACCACAACATGAAAGACAATCAATCACAAAACAGTTCCACGATGAAAAGCTCTGTACAAATCTCCTGGTAAATATCGATGACACCGAAGTACAATTAACATGAACTATAAAAGGCACTTTGTTTTGTGATTTTAATTGTTTTGAAGTATGATTGCCTCTGCTTTTTCCTGACTGACTTTTCTGGGACTTTTTGGTACTTTTTTTTGACCACAGGACAGGAAATCATCATCTCTGCCTTTTGTGACTTTTTTTGTAACGCCAATAAGCCAGAATGCACTGCAACACTTTTAAAATTGGAGCGTACTGCAAAAAGCGATGCAATAAAGCTACAAACACGCTCCTCCTTCTAGTAAACTGATACGGAGATGCAGTACTGACTTGAAGTATTGTCGTGTACTGCCATGTAACTACTTGATATCATCTTTAACGCCATAACCCCCTTCACTTTACCAGCAGTATATAAATCCAAAGCCTGTGTACGTAGGCTTAATTGCATATTATCCACACGCCATTGTAGGCTGAACAATGTCATACCTGCTAAAATGACTTCTATCACAAGCAACTCAGCTATGGTTTTCGTTTTTTACAGAAATATCTTCAAATGCTATATGCCCCGGTAAAATGTCGGAAAAGTATGGGGGGGGGGGGAGATAGTACTCGAGCCAAATATTGGATTTCTCCAGAATCGCATACCCCACCTTTAACACGTCATATCTGGTTTGTTTAATCTGTGTAAAAATGACAAAGACTTTGCAGAAAAGCATGTTTTCCAAAATGTCAGATTATTGAATTTGAATATATGCAATCAATGTCTCATCACTGATTGCATATGTTGACTTGTTGTTACCTGTTCAACCAAAGAGTATCAACCTGAAGAAGTAAAATCCCGTGGTTCACTAGAAAACTAAAAAATCCACATTATGTTTTGCAATAAAATGTTTTTCTGCTTTTTTATCCTGTTAATCAACTCGTGACCTGTCAGATTTAACTTGGAACTCCATGTGGGGGACCCAACCTACTGATCCAGGGTTGGGATCACACCCTTACTCACTTAATTTACTACATTTCTGTCCAATATACAGAAATCATACTGTCTTTCCCTCAGGATTTTGAGTAGACATTCAGTAAATGACATTTGGATCACTTGTAGGACAAAGATTTGGAAACATCTGTACTGGGAGGAGTTCATAATCTACGACATGACACCACATCTTTACTTCCCTATCCTCTAACGTCCACTTTGCATCACCAGTTCAACACTACAAGCAGCAGTGTTTCCACACAGTTTGCACTTAAAAGAAAAATTACGTAAATATAAGCAAGACATTTCTCACTTAGCATTTATCTAGAAGCTTGGGCAGGGATCATCTCTGTTCATTATAAAAGTGTGTTCACATGAAGTCATATCCATCCCATTGAGACTTGAAGAGGAAAAGTTTGGTTGACATTTCCACACACATAGTGCAGTGAAAAAGACACCTCTTCGCCTCTATTAATAGCCCATGTCTACTTTTGAGCAAGGCATCAAGAGCTAAACGAAACAAGCTGCAGGGAAGTCACCCCAGCTTTTGCCACAACTTCTGCTTTTAATTCCTCTGTGTGTTCATGAAAATGTGCTAAATTCCCCAGTCTTTAATGCATGCCAGCTTTTAATATATCTGCATAATGTTGTGTAATATTAGTATATGAAACATGGGAGAAGAAAAGGAAGATGATGACTGACATCTCCTGCCTGTGGACAATGTGGACTGTCTCATTGAATGCGACTTTAATTTCAGTTCTAGTTTTTTTATTGTATTGTTTGAATGGTTGTTTTATTTCTTTTAGTGGTCTATGGTGGAATATTGTTATTTTATCTATAGTTTTTATATTCATGTTTTTAGTTATGTTTGGATGAATAAATTAAATCTTTAAGGTTTTTTTGGGCAATATTAGAACAGTCCTCTACATCATCCTGTTTTTGGACAGAAACTACAGTGGAAATCAGTCATCAACTTTCTTGTGTTGACATTTTTGCAGTTGTTTCATCTAATGTCCTCATGTTACTAATGCCAAATAAACTAGAGACATTATTAGCTTCTTAAACATAATTGGGTTTGACTTACACTGCTTGGACTTCCAGAAGGGTGGAAAAATGGCACAAAGGCCATCATAATGAAAACACCAAGCAAGGTAAGTAATCATATTTACCTATACAAAACTGATCTTTACTTCAGATTTTTTTTTTTCTGTCCTAAACTTCCCAACCAGTATTCCGGTTAATGTTTTTTTTTTTTTTTTCCCAGAAGCAGCAGCCCACGATGAGTGAACTTCAACTCTGATTCCCAGATAGCGAGTTCACCACATTGTTCCTAAAGGTCAGTGAGAAGTAAGTTTGTACCTTCAACATTGTTGAATGAATGCGTCCATGACTTACAGTATGTGTTTGTGGTTTAGTTTAGCACTGATGACAGACAGCTCCAGTCATTATGGTACCTCTTCTGCTGCTACAGAGAGGGGAGGACTGGCGGGTGGTGGGTGTGACCAAAAATAAATGTATTTCACTGCAAGCCTCACAGCCACCTCAGTATGAATGGTGGAGCTGAGGAGGACATCTCTGGTGCAGCAATTAATAAAGTTAGTGAGGAGACCCAGAGAGAGAGCAAGCGCGCACGCGGTTACTGTGTGTGCAGGATGGTTTTTAGTCACCAGTGCAAAAGTTTTAAAGTGAAAGAAAATGTGTCAGGTCATATATTGATGCAGATGTGCGTCTCACAAATGCTGGCTGAAAAGAAAAAGAAAAGACGTGCAAAGTTTGCGCCTGTCCGCCAGTGAAGTGGGGTAAGTCTGTCATTCATTCAGTTCATTTTCTTTTATGAATTCAACGCATAAAAGTCGGATAAGTTTTCCACCTCACAGCTGTGCTCTCTTCAGAGTCCAAACGAGGAAGCAGTATGCGACTTTTATAACACTTTGCATTCACCGAGGCTGAATTTGTGCATCGTCGCAACGATGTTTTAATACTTTTCACACAGAATTAGACTCTGCAGAGCTGTCAACTGATAAGAAGTTAAGAGAAGTTTGAGGGCATTGCAGAGCTCACTCATGCGTAATGGGCGGTTTGCGCAAAGATAAAAGGAAGTATGCGGTATCAGACAGAGATAGTAACCCGGCCTTCCTCTTCCTTTTGTATTTTTTAAAAAAGTTATTGAATGACTTGACCTGAAACGCTTTTCTTTGACTTGGTTGCAACTCTCTTCCCCTGTGTGGTGTATCCATGAACGCACAACAAGTGTCAGACGAGCAGCACCCGGTTATTATCAACCCGCAGAAAAAAGTCTTGAGTGAACTTCACTGATCTTTTTATAGTTGCATATGATCCTTATCAGTATGAGAAGTTTGGTTGGTGAGCGTCACCTCCTGGAAAGAGTCTTACCAGAATGCAGTGGGCGTCACTTAAATACTTGTTGCTGTAGTCAGGGAAGTCACCGCGAGATGTTGCTTTCAGGTGGTGTCGGAACGAGTTAAGCTGCGTTTGTGTGCTCGTACCTTACAATTTATTTTTGTGCTTAAAAAAAAAAAAAAGATTATTACACAGAATGACAAATTGTGATTTTAAGCTGTTCAGAATACTACACCATACCATGTGCTACATCATCAGAATAATAAAGTTAAAGAGTTTAATTTTAAAGAATGTGCTGTAAATGAATGTTACAGTAGAACATTATACAGACATTTAGATGTTAAGACATTACTACGCCCTCTCACAATATTTTCTTTGCTATTGCACAGGACAAGTAGGCTACTACTTCTGACAACACAATCTCAAGATTGATTTAGTAGATGCTCTAGAGCTTTCAGTTGCATCACATGATCTTCCTCAGTTTGAAGTGTGTCTATTGTTAGGGATGAGCGAGTACGCCATCATCTGTTTTAACCAACTAAATTAGATGTAGCCTATCCCTACTCAGATTGGTCGGGGCTTAACCAGCACGTGGGCGGGGCTAACCGGAAATTTTAGACTGACATTTATATTGGTTGATTAGAAGTTGGTGTATTTTTTAGAAAACTATTTTCAAAACAGCTTCAGAGAAATGTTTTTGTTCATAATAGTAAGAGAACTATTTACAAAACAATTAAAAAAAGTAAAATGGTTTATTACGGATATTGACTCCATTTTACTCTGATACTCGTGAAAGTAACGGACATTCGTTTCAGTCGAGTACTCGCTCAACCCTACTAGTTGTCATGGAATGTTATATGTTTTAGTTTCCATTTTTTCTGAGTGTTTTAGGGACCGTTCATCTATGTTTGCATTGTATCCGTAGTGCTCAGAAAAATGAAAAAATTGAACACCAAATACATGTCAACTAGGCAAACTGAGTTAGATTTTGTGACGTGATCGAAAGCCCTAGAATAGCTACTAAATGGCCCTACAACTACAGTTCAAATAAAGATTAAAGAAGAAGACATCAGTCATTTATTGGGTGAGATTTCGGTATTCTTGTTCTCTGTTCCCCTTTGCTGTGACGTTGTTTAACGTACAGTGTGTATATACAGTATTTGAATTTATCACCACACTGGAAACCTATTTTTCTTAGTTTCACTTTCCAAAAAATGTCTGAATCTTGGAAGAAAAACGAATTTGAAGAAATGGCTCGAGTAAATATCACTCAGCTTTCTATTTACTTTCTTTTTCACATCTTTGCCCATCGTCATTCCACCACCTAATTTGTTCACTATTTGGACTTACTAAAAGTAAAGGTTCCGATTAACTCTACTCGGTGGAGGTGTGTCTGTGTCTGTGTGTGTGTGTGTGTGTGTGTGTGTGTGTGTGTGTGTGTATATGAGTTTCATAATAACTCATAGGAGTGACATGGGGTTTCCCTGCCCCTGTTTCTTCCATTCATGTGGCTGAAGACTGAGAAGTATAGAGCTGTCAACCCGGATATGGGCTGAGTGAGTGTGTGAGGAAGAGAGACTGTGCTAGTGTGAGAGCGAACAGGAGTGTGAGTGCATGCAACAGGAGGGAACAAAGTGTGTGTGTGTGTGTGTGTGAAAGAGAGACAATAGGAGGGAGTGTGTTTGCATGTTTTATTTATACAACCTTTATTTAAAGAGGCTTGTTCTTTGACATCATATTGTATTCTCTTTGTGTGTGTGATTAAAAAACCCAGCAGCTCAGTCATTTCCTCATTGTTCTTCCTTGTGACCACAGCAACGCAAGCTTCCTCTTGTCACATGCACCATTTTCCTTGCCCAGCAACTAAATATGACGCTTAGCGGAAGGAAGCCAAACACAGACCCATACACTTTGTCTGATGTTAACTGATATATCATACATTCACACAGGCTGGAAACCGACACAAGATGACAGATTACATGTAAATTACTTGTAAATCGGAAAGACATGTTTCATCCTTGCTGATCGGTTGCAAAATGCCCAACCAACTCTGATTTCTTTGTAGATATTACAGCTAAACACAAGTTAAAGGGCTTTAGGTTATATATGATTCGTATCGGCAGCCAATGAAAAACTGTGATGGTTATTTTGGTCTGTCACTATACAAAAATATCGATTTAAAGATGTATCACGATGCAATACTGAAATCATAATCCTGCATTGGTCGAAGAATCGTCTTCTTTTATTGAGCTAGTAAAACAATGCCACTAGGGGGCAGTGTTACTTCAAAACAGTGTGTGTCCTAAAATAAGGCAATCTCACAGTGAGGCATTGATCAGTGATCCTATCAACTACCAGAAGTAGTAATTCATATGCTATCAGAAAGCAAAACCCTTAAAGAAAGCCCTTACACATCTATGGTGCACTCGCACAGGTGGTTTCACATATTTTTCCTAATTAGGTAAATTCTCAGGTGTGTGTGTGTGTGTGTGTGTGGGAGTTTGGTGGCTTATCTTCTACTATAGGCCTTTTTCACAGCAGACAGACATTTTGATCTGTCGTAGTAGGAAAAGAACAGGTGTTAACAATAATGTAACAATGGCTCTGTTCTATTCAAGTGAGCCATGACAGTGTGAAAGTGAACTAGCATGCACAATACCAGGAACCTGAAACTGAATCAGCTAAATGGAATTCATTAGTTTTGCTATTTATACCAGTCGCACATGTTAAAATGTCTTCAGTGAAAAAAGGCCTATTGAGGAAGGAGAAACTTGAACTATTGGTACAATATATTTGTTTCACCCAACCTGAACAGTGTGCTAACGGGCCTTAATAAATGAAGACACCTGCATGGGCGAGCAGGACCTTTTTAAGAAACAGTCTGACATTTGGGAAATACGGTTTCTGTTGCCAAGAGTCAGACGAGGAGAATTATGTCTTTCTCTCATTTTGACATGGTTTCATGTATTGCTTGCTGGTCTTTCGTACAGAGTTTTGTATCGACTAGAAAGGTGCTTACATAAATATACTTAACTTTCTTAATTAAAACTTGCTTGTCAAGCACAGATATTACTAATATTAAGGATGGCTGCATTCCATTTAAGTGTGCCAGTTTGACTGCCCAGCTACCGGTTTAATGATTAGTCAATTGGTAGGAAATTTATCTGCAACTTCCAGCTTCTTAAATGTTGGGCTTTCCATTTCTTATTATTGTAAACCTATATCTTTGGATTTTGGACTGTTAATGGGACAAAACATTTGAAGATGTCACCTAGGGCTATGAGAAATTATACTATTTTATAGACTTTTAATTGTTTAATACTCAGTTAATCAATAATAAAAATAAGCGTTAAGTGCAGTCCCACTGGCATTCATTAAATGAAATGAAATGTGCTTTTAGCTGGATTGAGAGATCTATTTAGGTCCAGGATTTGTTAGCATAGCTTAGCACACAGGCTGGAAACTGGGAAGAAGCTAGCCTAGTTATTCCTCATTTAAAACCTTTTCCACCATACTATTTTTCCCCTTGTGTATGTTCGCCTAATTAAAATAAGTTTCATTCAATATAGACACGGCTTTGTTTACAGTATAAAGCAAAAAGGCGTCTTTTAGAATTTATTTAGCACAGCAAACTCACGTCTGGCCATGATCACACTGAAGAACGCCCTTATCCCCAGTAGAGCTGTGCTATTCAGCCGTTGTATTGTGAGTCGGTGAGCATGGAGATAAATTCAAAGCAGGAACTGGCTGATTATAGGTTGCTCTATGCGCTGTGCTTCCGTGTAGACAAATTAGGGGAAATGTACACGAGAGATGTTGTCATGGAGACGCAGGCAAAAGCAGTGAAAGTTGAGAGATAAAGGTGTGAGGTTCACTTCAAGTTCAGATTCAAGTTCAAGTGAGACTCAATTTATTGTCAGTTCTTGTGTTGAAGTATCATCTACAGCGGAAAGTGAAAGCATGTTGAAAGCATGATCAAAACAAAGTTAATATTGCATAGCCAGTCCTCTTTCCCATCATGCCGAGAGAGGGAAATTCAGCTCAAAAGTTGAAGAATCCAAAGATTCCAGTGCACTATTGTTCAAAAGTTGGTAATGAGACTAGAAAACCGGTACAAAAACGGCCGAATTCAAATCAGAAAGCGGCAGACGAAACAAACCAAAGGTACTGTTTCGGGAGCTGGTTGTTCTCTTGCCCCGTCTTACAGCCAAGTATCAAATGACTTCCAAAGGATTTCTTAAAGACCATTTTATGCTTTTTAATTGATAAGCTCTGATTACGAGAGATTTAACTTTAACCTGCTTTAACAGATTTTTTGGCCACTTGGGGGCAGCAGAAACAAGCTGTAAACACAATCATCATATTATTTATCATCATTCATTAGGGCCCGAGCACGACCGTGCGAGGTCCCTATTGAATCTGCTCGGATTATTATTTT